TTTCGAATTTTTAAAAAAATTATTTTTTCACACTAAAAAAACTTTCTCCATTTTTTTTGTCTAACGATTGGCACCGACTCGCATAAGTAATGCATAATAATAATAATAATAATAATATTTAGCGTTGGACACAATAAAAAAATTTTGTTGCATTTTATCACATAATTAATAAATTGATAACAACGAACGTATAATGGTGTGCAATCACGTATAAAATATTAATATATATAATATATATGCATAAACGATGAAAGTCTGACCATCCATTGATTAATTCAAAACATTTTTTTTTATTATTATTATTAATCAACATTTTCATTGTTTCGAAAAAAAAAAAAAAAAAAAAAATTTTTTCTACACTATTGCCAACTTTGAAAAAAAAAAAAATTTAAATGACGTAAAAGTATAAATTTTACATGCTCCAAATAATATTATATCTTATGTATCAGAAATTTATAATTATTATTATTTTTTCCTTTTTGTAATTTATAATAAATAGAGTGATAATTTTTTAATGATAATGATAATTACGATAATAATGATAATCGACTCTTTTCTTCTTATTTAATTTAAATCGCAATTAAAAATAATAATAAAAAAGAAAATTTTCATACCGGATAAAAAACAAAAAAAAAAAAAAAATGGTTGTTAAAAATTAATAATTAATTTAAAGTTATCGATAAACAAACAACAACAACAATAATAATACGATGATTTATAATAATGATAATAATAATAATAATAATAATAATAATAATAATAATAATTACATTCATTTCGTAACGTTCGTTAACAAAAAAAAATTTGAAAATGAGTTTGAAAAAAAAAAATATCATCATCATCATTTTATTTAATTTTTTTTTTTTTTCCCCTATACTTCCGACTTATTCACGTTAAGTATTAATCATTAATTTATATTTAATAAGTTTTTTTTTACATAGTCAACATTGGAGAAAGTAAATTTCTAGAACATAATAATAATTAGTAAAATTTCTCAAAAAAAAAAAAAGAAAAAAAATAAAAAATTGACACGGTTGTTAATTACGTATAATTATCACGCAAGAATTAATTTCAAAAAAAAAAACAATTGACGACTTAAAATATTTTGGGAAAAAAAATTTTTATTAATATTATTAATAAATATCTCATCGGTAAATTTTTAATTTTATACAAAAAAACAAAAGTTTGTCGATTGTTTGTTTGTTTGTTTGTTCGGATAATTGTTTCATTTTCATCGAGGAAAAGTTTTTTTTTTTTTTCTCTCATACATTCTATGGCAAATAATCAAATCGTTGCCATTTAATAAACCGCACGGATAGAAAATTTTTGCGGTGTTTTAAGCCTGTCATTATCATTGGGGGGAACTAACCATTAACGTGATTTATTGATGGCACGCAAGAGGGGGGGTAGGGGAGAAGGAAAAAACAAAAAAAAAAATTACGTAATTTAATGTTGCGTAATATAAGAGAAAAAAAAAATTTTTTTTTTTTTTTATAAAACCCTTCGCGGAGCGAAATCGTTTATAAAATGTTTTATTTAATGACCGAAACGAAAAAAACCTAAACAAATAATAATAATAATACACTTAAATTATTTTTTAAATGAAAAATAATGGGGAGTGATTGGGGGGTTGGGGGGGGGGTAAAGCGTCTTATTTGTTACACTACAACGAAAACTATTGTATGTGACCATACGAAAAAAACTTTTTCTTTTTTGAAATTTCTTAAAGTGAAATTCGATTTTTTTTTTCTTGTTATTGCTTATTAATTATAATGTATTTAAAAAGAAAAAAAAATTTATTACGTAATTTATTATTAAAAGTAATAAAATTATTACTAATGTGTTACAAAAAAAAATTAAATCACATAATAAATATATAACTTATTTCAAAATAAAACATTATCGACGACGGTAAAATAAAATAAAAAATTTATATTAATCCGTCACCGTTCACTTAACCTCGTTATTATTATTATCATCATCGTCTGTAATTATTAATAATGATAATGATAATCATTTAATAATAAAAAAAACTACTCGTATTTATGTAAAAAAAAATAATTTTTTTATTACGCTACGTGCAAAACCACCGACACACAAAAAAAAAACGAATAATAAAAATTAAAATGTTGTGTAATTTTTTGTTTTTTTATCATTAAACAAAGAAAACATAAAAACATAAACACGAGACAACATTCTCAAACTGCCAAAAAAAAAACCCCAAACAAACAAAGATAAATTCAAAGTAACAAACGAACAAACGAAAATTTAAGTGAATGGTTTAAACTAACCGTGGACTTAGTAATCAAGATGGAGACCTTTGAAATCTCGTTAAGAAAAAAAAAAAAAAAAACAAATTACATAACTTTTTATGAAAACGAAAAAAAAACTATTTTTAAAGTTTTTCGAATTATTTTTTCTTTCATAAATAAATAAATAAATAAATTTTTAATAAATCCCCTTCTTTGGCGTATTTATCACAAATCGATTAAAAAGTCTATCAACCAATCAATCAATCAATCGTCATCATTTTTTTTTTTTTTGTATTACGGAAGTGAAACGTAATCAAATCCAGATTAAAAAACAAAAAAGGTCAGCCATATTGAATTTCTGGATAAAAGCCAAACGTTTTTTTTTATTAAAAAAATTACCCGGTTCGTTAATAATTAATAATAATAATAATATTAATTTTATTTCTGTCCAGGAAAAAATTCAATAAGTAAATAAATCAATTAATGTTTTTTTTTTTTTTTTTGAAGGCTGATTTCTTTTCGTTTCGAGTCGTGCGTGCGTGTGCGTGCGTGTTTAAGCCCCTTAAAAATTTCACAAAAAAAAAAGGGAAATTTTTCCAAAAAATAATAATTTGTGCGTGACATTTTTTTTTTCTCATTTTCACACCCATTTTTATTGTGAGGGTTTAAACTCTCGCGAATTACTCAAACTCTCTCACGAATATATATAAATAAAAATCTCACGACCTTATGCAATTTCATTTTTTAAAAAAAAAACCGCAATTTCAATTTTGTTTTAGGCAAAATTACTTAGGTGGGGATGGGGGTGTACAAGTACACGTCCTAACTACAACTACTACAACTACTACTAATATCTAAAACGGAAAGAAAAAAAAAACTTCAACGTTTTTTAGTAGAAAAATCTTTTCTTTTTTTTTCCCACCCTCGGGCGTAAAATTTCCTTGAAATCAAGTTTTTCCGTCTTTGTTTAAAACCTTTTTTTTATATGTCGCGCGTCGATAAATTTGATTCCAATAATAATAATAATAATAATATATATAACAAATTTTTTTTTTTATTTAAATTTTAAAAGAGAAACGCGATGACGTCATAATAATAATAATTAATATAATAAAAACAAAATAAAACAATGCACAACGCGTTACACGTCGGTTGAATTCGTTTATTTTCAAAAAAGAAAAAAAAAATTTTTTTTATATATATTTTTTTAAAATTTTAATTACTCTCGGTACGAAACGTAATTAAAAATTTTTTATTACGTAATAATATTTTAATTATTTTAATAAATTATTAAAGTTGAGTGAGCTCGCAGAATAAACATCTAGAATTTATTTAAAAAAAAAAAAAAACATACGTAGGATGTAGATAAAACTAAAAAAAAAAAAAAATGTTTTACTCATCATCATCATCATCATCGTTGTTGTTATTATTATTATGTTTTATAAAATTACCATCGAGTTATACAACTATAATAATAATAATAATAATTTTGAAAAAAAAAATTCATCGAGATATACTTCACGGATAATTTAATAAAATTATTATTTGATAAAATGCAATTTAAAAAATTATTTTTTGTGACGTCATTTGATTTCGTGTTATGTGACGTCACAATTTTTTTTTTTCATTTCACATTTAATTCGAAAAAATTGTAAACAATTGTTTTGTTTTGTTTAACTATCTTTTTAAAGACATCATCATCATTGTTAACCATCATTTTAAAAAGAAAAAAAGAAAATTTTGTAATCGTGAGAATTTTCATTATTGCATCTGATTCTACTACTACAACACAATAAATTGTACAATCGTGTGTGACACACGCACACGCACAAACGCACACACATTATTTAAACGGTTTACAAATACGTCGAACTAACTATTAAAAAAAAAAAAAAAAAAAAAAAAATTATATGTTTCCATACAACAAAGTTTGATTGATGATGAATGAATTTTTTTTTTATCAGTTATAAAAAACAATGCAACAATCATTTTTTTTTTTTATTATATATAAAAACAAACAATTCGGTCATGGCGAACATGAAGATTGATTTTATTATTAATATTATTATTATTATTATTTTTCTCTCTCTGATAAGTTTTATCGGTAAATCGTTACTTAATAATTAATTACCGTAAAATTAATAATTATTATTATAATAATAATCGTAATAATTAATTTTTTAAAAATTTTGACGTTCGATCCATCAATATCAAATAAATAAATAAATAAAATTATTAATTTAATCCACAAAATAATCTCTTTAAAAAAAAAAAAAATTATTACAGTAGTAATAATAATAATATCGTTTTTATAAGTTACCAAACTTTGTTTTTTTTTAATGTAAGAAACAACAAATTTACGCATAATTTAAAAAAGGGAAAAAAATTTGCCATAATTTCAATCGAGCTAACATGAATAAATATTTATTGTATTTTGCAATTTTTTTTTTTTTTTTAACGTTTGTCCTTGTTTGTTTTCCACGCTCGAATCAAAATTGTTAATGTGGATCACTATTTAGATTTCTGGGTTAGTTTAACCGTTGGGAAACTTATTTCAACAACAACAACAAACAAAAAATTTTTCTTTTTTTTTTTTTGAATATTTTTTTTTTGAGATAATTAAAGATTAATTATTTTTTATTATGGAACAATGACATTAAATTACGACTCGTTATTTTTTTATTTGGTATCATAAAAATTGTGAGAAATAAATTATGACACCGTGAATACAAAGAAAAATTAATAATAATGTTGACCAAATATGGAAAATCTGATTTGTCTTTACATCATTTTACTTTTTTTTTTTTTTTTTTATTTTGTTTCATTGGCTATAAAATTGTTCGATTGTCTGATTCATGTAAAGAGTTTTGTAAATTTCAAACTAATTTTTTTACTTTATGCTTTTTTTTTTTTAGGTAGCCGCCCTTTTGAATATACTTCTGATACTGTCAGGTTCAGAAGCTAAAAGAATTAGAATTCGACCTCAAAGACCGGTTGTTACGGAAGAAGCATCCGATCAAGAAGAACAACCGCAAAGAGTTGAATATTATGCTGCCGAATCTCAAGAAGCTCACGGACCTCAAGCCCCACAAGCGGCTCCAGTCCCTCAAGTTCCGCAAGCCCCTGTTGAAGCTCAACAAAAACTCGTTTTGTTAACAAACGAGGGAGATGTTTACAATGGCCTTTACGGTAGAGCCATAGAAAGAGCTGGAACTGAACCTCAATATCCGAGACTTCTTCAAAGACCGGGACTCATTGCTCGACCAACCAGAGTTAAAGAAGCAGCTAAAGAACCACCAGTGCAAACCATTCGCAATTACAGCAAAGTGAATGACGATGGATCTTTTACTTTCGGTTATGAAGCTGCCGATGGAAGTTTCAAAGAAGAAACAAGAGGAACCGATTGCGTCGTCAGAGGAAAATATGGTTACGTAGATCCAGATGGCAACAAAAGAGAATTCACTTATGTCTCTGGAAATCCATGTGATCCAAATGCTCCAAGTCAAGAAGAAGAAGAAGAAAAAGAATCCGAAGAAAGTGGAGAAGAAAATGTACCACAAAATATTCCTCCACGACCATTAAGACCTTTGAGACCAGTAGCTAAACCAATCGTAACTAGACCAGCCACCACGCTTTTCCAACAAGATTTTAAAACGATTCAAACTGAAAACGCAGTCGTTCCCGAAGAAGAAACCCATCCACAACCTCAACTTTACTTGCAACCATCTCCAGGTGTCGCGCATGCTCCAGGTCCCGTACCGGTTCAAGTTCCACTTCCCGTGCCCGTACCAGTTTCACCAGCTGCACCAGCTCGAGTCAGAGGAAGAATTCCTTCTCGCCCAGTTTCGGTCCAACTTCCAGTTCCAACCGAAAAACCGGAAACAGTAGTCAGAGTCACTCCAAGGCCAGTTACACCTTCCACTCCAGCTTCTCTTCCAGCTACTACTTACAGACCTCAGCTCTTGGTTTCGGTCACTCCACGTCCCAATGTTGTCCTTACAAAACATTCTACTCTCGCTCAACCAAGTCCGTTGATTCCATCACCTTCTCCAATCTCCAGTGTAGATTTCGAAGAAGAATTGAAACGATTCCAACTCGAAAACAATGTAGTAACGACTCCGAAAACTTTATCTCCGAGCACTACCCTTAAATCTGAACAACCGGGAGTTCCATCGGGACAACCAGTATACACTTCTGAATTGGTGTTCAACCCGGCCACCGGCCAATATAACACAGTCCTTTATCAACAAATTCCAAAATCTGCTGCCGATTTGAGTCTTAAGACTAGACTACCACAAATTGTACCTCAACCGCAACTTCAACCGATTCAATTGCCACAACCGCAACCACATCATCAACCGCAACATCAACCTCAACCACAACCTCCAAGATCCGGTGCTGTAACACATCATCCATCTAATTTACTTCAACAACAAATTTTCGAACAACAAAAGCAAGTATTGTTCCAACAATCTCAAGACTTATACAATCAACAAAGATCCCAACTCCATGCTCAACAACAACACAGGTTTCAACCGTCATTTGCTCCGACCTCTCTCCAATACCAATCTTTACCATCTACCGTAGCTTCATCGTCTTCCAAACCTTTGGCAACGGGACCGCAAAAATTTGAAACATCACCAGAACCAGCTCAAAGGGTATCCAGGCCTCCAAATCCCCAACAATACTATTATTTTGCTCCGAGTTTAGATGCTCAAGCTCAAAGTATAGCAACCGGACAACTTGATGCTTTCCTCAGAGCAAACAATTATGGATTCTAATAAACACAAACAACCCTCATCGCAATATTAATGATGTAAATAATTAGAAAGTTATTTATGCTTACAATCATGTAAGTTCTAGTCTTTAGGTTGGTTCAGTAAATTTTTTTTTTTTTTTTTTTTTTTTAATATGAGAGAGACTTTTTGTGAAAGTTCTGGGAAAGAAACTTTTAGAAGAGAATTTAAATTGTGCGGGTGCCAAATGCCACGTTCGCAATAAAAAGAAAAGTGAAAATCGTGCTAAACCATAACGCAATTAGCACAAAATTTATTATTTAAACAAGGACGTCTGCTCCTGTGCATACAATCAACGGGGAGGAGAATCAGACTCGAAAAAAAAATTTATTAATAATAATAATAATAATAATAATTCTTCTAAACATTTATGATAAACTGTTATTAGATATTTTACACACTTTTTTTATAACAATTTTTTTTTTTTTTTAAATAAAATATTACAATTAATATTAATAATGATAATGATGATTGGAAATCATACTTTTTTATATGCTATGTCAATAAATATAGTATATATAAATATTTATAAAATTATGATTTACAACACTAATAATCCTTTCAACAACAAAAAATTGTAAAACATTTTTTTTTTTTTTAAATAAAAAGGATTAAAAAAATAAATTTAAAAAATCAATCGATTATTAATCAATTAATACATAATGTGACGTAAGTAAAAGTATTAATATTATTATTATTTTTTTTTTTTTTCAAAACCGCAAAAATATTAAAATTAAAATCTCACGAAAACGCGCAGTTTAATAAAAAATTAATTAAAATAAACGAGGGAAGCTAAATTTATTTTATTTTATTTTTTTTTTTATCAACGATAATATTGATAAGAAAATCACGTTTGTGTTGCATTTCCTTCGTGAAATTAAAAACTTTTACTCTTTTTTTTTTTTTTTTGAAGTTTCAAGGATTAAATAATAATAATAATAATAAGAAATTTTAGTTCTTGAACTTTTGACCGTAAGTTCAAGAACTGGAAAAAAAAAAAAAAATAATAAATAAATAAAAAACTAAAACGGACAAATCAATGTCATTTATAACAATAAAAACAATATTATTAATATTATTAATACTACTCGAAACTAAAAAATTTTGCTTTCGTTTTTTTTTTGTTAACGGACGAACGTGAATTGAGTTAACGTGAAAGTAATTAATCTATTTTGTGAAAGTAAATGAAATTTTGTATTTGTAATTAACCTTTGGTTGTGTGTGCAGCCTGATCACGTTTTTAAAGCCCTTAGAAAAAATTTTACGCCATTGTTTATTTTTTTTTTTTATTTTTTTTTAATTTGACAACGAGGAAGGAAAAAAACCAAAAAAAAAAAAAAAAACAATGTATCATGTTGTAATGACCAAAAGAAAGGCAGTTTGTTGTTGTTGTTGTTGTTTGTTGATTTTCGAGTGTGTCGTTAAATTTTATAAAGGTTAAAAAGTTGTTGTTTAATGTGCAGGTGAGTTTGTTTTACCCTGAATTATCATCATCATCATCGTATGCACGAAAGTTTTATTTTTTTTTTTTTTTTATTTAATTACAGAAAAGATTCGTTTTTTAAAAAAAAAAAAAAAAGTCGCGTTCACGTGACATTTTACTTGTTTTGTTACCGACGACATTTTATAAAACCGCTTGTTTTCAATGAATAATAATTGATAAATGTGTGAGAAAGCATAATCAAATAATTACTTAATGAATAAAAAATTAAATTAAATTGTAACTGACTTGTTTACCTTTTTTTTTCTTAAAAATACCTGAAAAAGGTACCGGTGGACCTTATCACTTACTGACTGACGTCATAATTTTAAGCAATAATAATAATAATAATGATAATTTTATTTTTATAAAAATTTTAAAAACTTTGTTAAACAAAAAAATTATTAAAACATCCTTGAAACATATTCGATTTAATATTTAAAAAAAAAAAAAAATAATAATAATAATGATTTGAACGTGTTTGTACGATTGATTCATTTTTACGATTATATAATAATTAATTAATAAACATTAAAATTATTAATAATAATAATAATAATAATAATAAAAAGGAAAGAAAAGAAAAATCAATATTAGATTTATAATTATTCGAGTTTTAAATTAACACTATATTGAGGTTAACACTATTTCGTGTCCTTGGATACAATCACGTAGAAAGGTACTATTACTTTATTATTATTATTATTATTATTAATTTTATAATTTAAATATTTAATGTTGTCGAATGCTCTGCATAGTAAAAAAATAAAACTTTTAATTTTCTTAAACTAAACTATTTTTTAATCGATAGAAAAAAATAAATAAATAAATAAATAAAACGTAATTCATAATCTACGTAAATAATATTTTATATATGTTTACGCGAGTATCGATAACAACTTTTATATAGAAAACGAAATAATAATAATAATAATAATAATAATCCAATTTGATTGACGGAAATGAAAATTTTTTCACTTTCGAAAATTTTTAAGGACGTAAATCGGACATCGCTCGAAGGTAGTTGGTGTATTTAAAAGACAATAATGTATTGAAAGATTATTGACGGCAGATAAACAAAAAGATAAGAATTCAATTAATGACTTCGAATAACAATAAAAGTAAACAAAAAATTAAAAATCAAAGAAAAACAAATCAAAAAAGAAAAAAGAAAAAAGAAAAATTACTATCAAGGACAAACGCATATTAATAATTTTTTTTTTTTCAAGCAGGTATCCCCCCTTCTCTCTCTCTCTCTCTCTCTCTCTCTCTCTCTCTCTCTCTCTCTCTCTCTCTCTCTCTCTCTCTCTCTCTCTCTCTGTCTCTCTCATTCTGGTTTGAAATGACTAAAAAAAATAATGAAAATCCCTAAAAGGTATTTGAGATATTGGGTGGAGGCAATCGGCAGGCACAACTTCGTGGGAAACAAAACAATCGAACAATTTCCTGTAAGTCGTGTCTTGTTGTTTGTCCCTACACCGCTGAGTTATTATTATAAAACTAAATAATTTAAATTTTTAAAAATATAATAATGATAAATAATAACCAAAAAAAAATAAAAAAAAGATTTTTTTTTTAATTACGACTCATTAAACTTTATTAACCGTTTTTTTTTTTTGGTGACCCCCAAACTTTCTAACGACAAAAACCTTAATTTAAAAATTTTCCCCTAAACATAAACAATACAATTTCTTTAAAAAAAAAAAACAGAGAAAAAAAAATTAAAATTTTTTTAAAACCTAAATACTTTTCATTTACAAAAAGAAAGCCCACCATGATTTTTATTTTTTTAAAAAAAAAATTCATTTTTAGTTTTAGAATCAATTAGTCATTATGAAATACCATTTTCACCGGTTGTGCCTATTCAGGTAAATCTTGATCCGGTTACCTTGTACATTTTGTAATAACGAACTAATAACCTTCCAATTTAGATCACAACTTTTATACAGAGGCGTGTCTTATTATAAAAAAAAAAAAGGGAAAATATATTACAGGTGGAAAAGTTGGTGAGAAAATTTTTTTTTTTTTTCTTTAAATTTATTCTTAAAAATCTAGTTTTGCGCATTAATACAATAAAAATATCGTTTTCAACATTTATCTTTTTCTTAAATTTGTTTAAAATATTACCGATTAATTTTTAAGTAAAAGAAAAACGATGACAATTTTTTCAAGGCAATTTTTCTTTTACTTCCGTTTAAATGTTAAAATTTATTTATTTATTTTTTAATCAAATAATAATGTCTTTTAGTGTCACTAATGTCTTTTTCTAAATTAATTTCTTTAATTTAATTTTTATGTGATTTTTCTTAATCAAAAAAAAAAAAAAAAAAGCGTTCAATCGCAAAATATAATAAATCTAATACGTATAATTTTTTATTTTTCAGGCATATTTCCAAAGTATACACAACAACATTCATTCGTGCGAGAAACAACCAAACAAACAAGCAACAAACACATCGATAAATAATCGAATTCCTCAAGCAGGGGAGGTACATGGGTAGGTGTGGTTCGACGATGGTTTCCCGAACATGAGACAAGAATAATAAAAAATTCACGCTTCCTTGTAATTCACCAAGGGCGAATTATTTTTTTTACAAAAATCTAATGAATAATATTTTTCAAATATGTCCGAAACCTTGAGTAATTATATATAATATAAATTAAAAGCATTTGTCAAAGCAAAGGTGTCGGTAATAACCCAACAATTAATTTCGTTCTAAAAAAAAATTTTTTTTTAGCGCTTTTTAAAGACTATGTTAATATTTATAATAATAATAATAATAATAATAATAATAATAATACGGTAGACTTTTTTTTAAAAAAACTTGTTTAAAGTCGACAACTTTAATAACGCGATTTCCGTTTAAAAAAAAATTTCTTATTTAATAATTTCGTACGAAAAATAAAGATTAGTTAATAGTTTTTGTTCTAATCCTAGTTTCCACAAATCTACTAATTAGCCTATTTAAAACGAAATTTAAATCCCCAAATTTCATTGTACGAGGTAAGTGCGCAACACATTATACAAAGGTTGACTATAAAAAATTTTTTTTCTTTGTTAAAATCGTTAAAAATCACCCACGTAAGCAAAAAGTAAAAAAAAAAAGGGGTCAGTAACTTAATTTATAGACAAAAGTTAAACGTTTGTAAAAAAAAAAACAACAACAACACAACATTAAAACATTTATGTTTAAGACCATGTTTTAAACCTATTGACATAATTCTGTGTTTTTTTGTAAACGATTTTAAATTTATTTATACTAAAAATTGTTTGTACCCCGAAAAAAAAAAAAATTACAATGGCGAAATAAATTTTAACTATTTAATTTACATTTAATAATAATAATAATAATAAAATGTTGTTTAACTTGATTTTTTGTTTTGTTTCTTCCAAAAAAACCAGAAAATCTAGATTCAAGAAGGAAAAAAAAAGAAAAGAAACAAAAAAAAAAAATCGTGAAACATGGATTGACAAAATCAAAACCCCTGAGGAACAATAAATAAATTTCCTCAAAGACATTAAGCCGAAAAAAAATTTTTGGTGTTTCATATGAATTTAGTAATCATTTTTACGTAAATTTTGTTTTTGCTTCAAAACAAAAGGCAATAAAAACCTTTTTTTTTTTTTTTGTTATAAACAATATTTTTCCAGATGAAACCAGGAAGACAAAAAAATTTTTTTTTTTTTTAAATATTTGCGCAACGATAAATGATAACCTAATGTAAAAGACATGAGAAATTTTGATAACGTCTTATTTTTTTTAAATAAACAAAATTTTTGTTTTGTTCTAAATGATAAGACATTATAAATTTTGATTTCGCCCCCCCAAAAAAAATTTTTTTTGCACAAAACGTTCTGAAAGCATTCATAATTCAACTTATAATAATGAGAGAGAAAAAAAAAATTTAGAACAAACTATCATTTAAGTCATAAGATTAATGACAATTTTATTCTTGCAAGTATTTAACAATCAAATTAAAACAACAACAACAACAACCACAACAAAAAATTTCCAATCAATCATTCATTATGTCGTTTGATAAAAAGAGAAAATCAGGTATAAGAAAAACTAACCGTAACCGTTAAAAGTGAATTTTTTCATTTGATTATAATTTTTGTGACCTTAAATTCTCTCCAGACTGCGTTTATAATAAAATACACGTTTTAATTACTTCAGGGCAAATTTCCATTTCAAGTAATTTAATTCGAAATGCGAATATCAATTTCAAATTTAATTATATTTTAAATTTAAATTTAAATTTAATTATATCGAATAAATTCCTTCCTAATAAATTATGTTTAACCTATCATATAAATTTTTAAAATATTCTGTACCTTTTCTCTAATGAAAAAAAAGAAAAACTCCCGTGGAAATACCATAAACTTCAAAGAAAATTTAAAATTTTCATAATAATAATAATAATAATAATAATAACGATGACAAAAAACCGTTAAAATTATTTATATAAAAAAAAAAAAATTTCTAATTAAATAATACACTTTTTTTTGTTTTTCACAAAGTGATGCCATTTTTATTTTGCGTACGGTGCTGACATCTAACAGATAAAGCGAAAATTAAAATTCAAAATGTCGAGACAAAAAAAACGTTAATTGAAACTTGCGTCGCGTCGTTTACCCCTTCCTAATTAAATCTTTTTCGTTTTACATTTAATTAACTACTTTTTTTTATCTTGAATAAAATGAATTAATTAACATTTTTTTGCGATAAGATTTTTATCTCTATAAGCATTTTATAAATCTTATTCATGTAATTGTATTTCAAAAATTTGCTTATTAATCATTTTATTACATTTCGACAGAATTTTTGAAAATGCAAAAATGTTTTATAATTTTTTATCGGAGAAAAAAAAAACCCAATAAATAAATGCATACTAATTATTATTATTTTTAAACAATTTTTTTTTACCAGTTGCATGTTTTAGCTCGAAACAAACGTTTAAAAAAAAGAAAAAAGAGAATAAATTAAGAAATAACCGTGGGACCTATTAATAAAATGAAAATGGCCGCTTATTCAAGTAATTACAAGTTGAAACAAGTGAAAAAAAAGTCAATTATTACTTCATTTACCTTAATTGTTGCCCTTCATAAAACGGCGTCATATTCAAAAGAGAATAATTTGCAAACAGTAGCAATCGATAAGGTTTGACCCGAAGGTAAAAATTATTAAAATTTTATAAACTATTGTAAGTAAAAACTTGTCACACGCGATTGCATCACTTTTTCTTCACTGCTTCACATAATTATTAATTTTGGTTTTTTTTAGAAGGCGGTGCATAGAAGAAGCAAAATTCGAAAATTCGTTATAACTACGTCACACCACAATTAATGGCCGAATCGATTTCTTTTGTTTTGTTTTAAATATAATTTTAACAATTAAATTTATCTTTTAAAAGTTTTTCACGTGAAAAATAAATAAAAGAGGAAGGAACGAAATAATATTTTATTAATTAATTACTCAATCAATTAATTCATGGGAGAAAAAAAAACACATTGAGGTTGGTTGATTTATCATAATTTTTTTACCTTTTTTTTGGGATTTTATTTGAAAAAAATTACATTTTTTGAAAATAATTTTACGTTTTTATTAAATAAAAATAATTAATTTATTACACAAAAAGAGAAGAGATTTGAAATAATTAAAAATAATGCAAAAAAAATTGTAATAATGGCACGACACATTCTTCATAGTGCGTGTTAATTTAAAATGGAACGAACATGTAATTGGAATTATATATTTAAGTGAAAGTAACAAAAAAAAAAAATTCACCGGAATTATTATTATTTTAACTTGATTTTCAAACGTTTTTTTTTTTTAATTATATCACTTGAAAATAGTAAAAAAAAAATTACATAATTTTTCATTTGTTTTTCTTGTCAACTTGGTGTGTGTGTGTGTGTGTGTGTGTGTGTGCATGCCGTCACGAAATTATTATTATTATTTTTTTTTACAGAATTTCATATATTATTTGACCGTGAGAATTTTTATTTAGTATAAAAGATCTAATTAAATTTGAAACCAAATCAAAAAATTTCTTTTCTTTTGCTGCAAAAAAAATTAAAAAAAATTTGACTAAAAATAAAATTTTCTTAAGTACAAATCACAAATTTAATTTTTGTCAATCAAATGAATGTTATTGATTAATTTAATTTTTTTCTTGGTCTCAAATCAGTAGCAATTTGTAGCAAATGGTAGCACTTGGTACTAAATGGTAGCAAATATTTTACTTTACTTAAAGGTAGTAGATAGTTTACTTACCATTCTACTAAATTAGTAGATAGCTTACTTACTTTCATAAATAAATGGTAGCAAATGATAGCAAATGGTGGCAAGTGGTAGTAAATATTATAATTATTTTTGCTGAACAAATCAATTTTTATAAAAGCATAATATAGTATATTTTACTGAGTTTTCTTTTATGAAATACAGTTACAGTAATAAAATTATTATTATTATTATTTTTTTTTTCTAACAAACACAAACAGTTAAACATTTGATTTAAAAATTAAGCAACCATATAAATTTTTTTGTTTTTTTTTTTTCCCAATATAAAAACTTTTTATATTTACAATAACAATGCTCTCTCAAGGTTGGGAACTTCCTTTGAAGCTTTTTAAAAAAAAAGAATTTTTGCAAAATTTTTTTATTTTTATTAATTATTTGTAAAGTTTTATTTTATTACTCAATCCTTACTTTAATAACATTCTATTTTTTTTTCTAATACAAACTTTTTTTTTTTAAAACCCTTTTTACTAATTTTTTTTTTTTTTTTTTTATTTTAGATTCTGTTGATTTGAATTAAATTTATTAAAATTAAAATTTATAAAAAAAAATCAGAAGAAGAAGAAGAAGAAGAAGATGAAAGTGAGAAAATTTAACAATAGGAAAAAGAACAGGAAGAATTATTTTTAAAAAAAATTAAATAATAAAATAAAATTAAAATTGTGGGATGATGTTTACCAGGAAATAAAATGTTATATAAAAAAAAAAAAAATTTAACAAATTTATAAGTGATTAATTTAAATGTAAGATTTAATTTAAATGTGACGTCATAATAATAATAATAATACTAATTGTAAATTTTTATATTTAAATTAAAAACTATGATATATAAAATTTAATTTTTTTTAAATGTAAATGAAAAGAGTGAGACAGGAAGTTTATTATTATTTATTTATTTTTATTTCAATTTAAATAAATTTTTTTTTTTTTGGTAAAAATCTTTTAAACTCATTGTTGTTGTTAAGTACAGGAAGAAAGTTTAAAAAAAAAAATAAGAAAACCATTTAAAAACTACAAAACTTGTTGTAATATGTTAAGTTAACAAAAATTTTTTTTTTTTTTTTTTAGAGTGATTGAAAGAGGGAACAATGAAATTCACAATCAACATATTGTATAATATCATTTAGCGTGTGTGAAAATAAGGTCTTTTGTTTTTTTTTTTTTTTTTTTTTTTTGGTCAAATATTTCAACATGTTAGTCGTTCATTTAAAACGTAAGAAAAGGAGAAGAAAAAGAAAAAGAAAAAAAATCCCCCCCCCCCTTATCTACATAAATTTTCACAGTGAAACAAAGACTATATAGCGACCCTATACGCAATTCGGCGTTTCAGTAATCAAAGTGAATTTTGTTTGACGAAATGGAAATATTATGGAAGGTGAGTTTTATGTTAAGTTTTTTTTTTTTTTTTTTTTTTATAAATTTTTACGCCAAATTTTTTAAAATGAAAGTATATTTTTATAAGGTTTAAATATTTAAATTTTTTTCTTATCATTTAAATAAAAAATAATTTATCAATACCAATAAATTTATGTTAAAAAAAGGTGTCAAGTAGATATTACTTTTGTTTTTTTTTTTACTTATTTTATAAAATTTAATTGAATTTATTAAAAATATAATTTTGTTTATAATTAAAGTAAATTTAAATGATGATAGGATTGAAATTTATAAAAATTATTATTAATAAGACATGTTCAACATGCATGCAAACAAAAAAAAAACTTTGCCATTTATTATTTTGTAATCAAAGAGTATAACTCATTGCCAAATATTTGATTATAATAAAATGTAGAAAGAGGATATTGTTTATCATTTGTTAAATTAAAAATTAATTTAATAAGGAAATGTACAAGGAAAATTAAAAGAAAGAGTTTAAAATGTGTCGAAAAATAAATGAGTATTAAATGTAAAAAATAAATTTTAAGGATTTAATCGGGATTTTTTGTTTTTTATTTTAAATATTGTTAATTGTAAAATACTTTAGGTGTTTTGGATAAGCTGGTTAGTTTGCTTCGCCTCCAGAAAATTGTACGTGACAGGAAATGAAACGACCACGTTAAATTCTGGGACACTCAACACGACGACAACAACAACTGTTGAGATATCAGAACGAAGTGATGACCACACCGAAGAACCAGATAAAACTCAAAGTGATCTTGATCTTGAAACTCAGGATCAAGTCGCCATTTTGAAACAAATCAATAGGGTTAACGATGATGGATCATATACTTTTGGTTACGAAGCGGCTGATGGAAGTTTTAAAATAGAAACAAGGGATGTAAACGGAAACGTTAAAGGAATGTTCGGGTTTATCAACGAAGACGGAGAGCTGAAGAGAGTATCGTATTCGGCAAGTAATGGAACTGGATTTCAATCAACTGGAACTTTAAACATTCCACCTCTTCCAGGTACTGGTTTATCGTCCGAAGAAGGAATTAATCCAAAATATAATGGCGATAGATTTAATCAGGAAAATAATTTTAAACCCAAAGGTTTAGATGAGTCTTCGACAAAAATTAGTTTTGTAGATTCGACAACACCCGTGTATGAAAGTTCTCCCGATACACAACCCTCCAAACTTCCAGTTTACATTTTTGGTTCTTCAACATCTTCCAGTCCCGTGACCGTTACTTCGAAACCCGTTGTGATTCAACATATTCCAAAAGTACGACCAACACCGGGTTCTAGTTCGACCATACCAACTGAATCTGAAGAAATTTTATTGAAACCTTTACTCAGTGATTTAGCACCCAAAAGAACATCGAATACTAATTTCATCAGTTTTGATAATAATGATGACACATCTGAATCTACCTTACCAGAAGAAAACAGTGATAATCAAAGTGTAATACAAGTGATTCGACCGCGACCTGGTCCTTTTAAAAAAGTTATAGTTACGAAGCGTCCGGTAGTAGCAACAACTCCAAAAGTGGTAACAACTACTGAATATAAATCAAAAGATTATGTTGAAAAAATTAAAAACGAAGATTCTTCGACAGAAGGAGAAAACGGAGTCAGAAGGCAACTCGGAGTAACGGATAATTATTTAACAACCACAACATCTAATCTCGCTACATCCGGAACTGAAGACAGTCCAGACGTGTATGGTGGAAAACAAGTTACGCGTCCTTATCCATCCACTGCCTTTCGAACTCTCTTTACTCAAATTCCTCAACACCAAAGAATATTACAAAATTCTTATATTCAAAACCGAAATAATTATATTTCAGCTGCATTAGGGAATCCAGGTCTTTTACCGACTCCTGCTCCTCCTCAAGTGGTTCCTTTAACTACTCAAGCTCCAAATCAACAAAAAACTTTTCCGCCTTCAACGCCACCCGAAGAACGGGACAATACTCCTACTCCAATACCCCAAACAATTCCTGACATTCAAGGTCAAAGACAATTTATTTTACCACCGAATTTCGTAGGACAATATACTCCAACTGTACCGTCAGTCGGTTCTTATCAACAAGAACAACTTCCTCAACAAATATTCATTCCTCCGGCTTTATTAGACTACTTAATAAGAATGTTGATAATAGCTCAGCAACGGTTATTAAGTCAACAAAGACAACAGGCAATCAATCCTTATCAACATGGAGTTTTTACCACCGTCGGTCCCAATAACGTTCCTCCGGAAGTAATCAATAATCAGTATGATCCCCGTTATTATCAACCTAATAAAATAACATATTCCAATTACTCTCCGGCTTTGAATGGATATTCAAATACGATACCACCGCGAAACACACCCGACGCTCAATATCCTTTGCCATATTATCAAGCCTATCCTTCATTTGATCCTCGATATAATTATCAGTCACAAATGTTTTCACCTTTACCATACAATCGTTATCAACCAAGAACACTTCCTTATGAAGTCGACTCAATAAGGCAGCCACAAAACGACGAATACATGCTAAGAATGTTATTAGATTATTCAAAATATCAAGCTCAAACTCCTCTTCCTATCGTTCAGTCAACTTCGACCGTCGTAGAACGATCTTCTTCTCCGTATACCATAGGAAGAGATTCCACAACGTCATCCTCGACAACTCCAACACCAAAGGTTAACCCAGTGAGAAACGTTGAAATATTAGGACAAATAAACGAAGAAAGTCAAAATATTAACAATTACGAGAGCAGTACAAAATCAGAAAAATAATTTATTCGATTTTTTTTTTTTAAAAGACTGGTATATAATATAATTTCTTTTTTTTTTTAATTTTAAATAAACTGTGATTTTATTTTTATAACTCCCGACAAAAAAAAAATAAATCGTTAATATATATATAATGTATAAATAATTATTAAAAAAAAAAAAAAATAATAATAATAATCTGTAAAAATTTAAAATTAAATATGTAATCAAGTAAATTATATATTCAAAATTATGAAATGTGAAATAATATTTATTACTCTAAATTTTACAGAGAATAATTAAATAAAACATTATTATTATTATTAACAAAAGAAATTAAACATTATTTGCTACTTTTTATATAATCAAAACGAATAATAAAAATATTATCATACGCAGGGGAACCCCCCCCCAAAAAAAAAAAAATATATGTATTTGATTTATAAAATTTTAAATGTGGTAAAAACTTTTGGTGACTTTTGGAGAGATTTTTAACAAGTTTTTTTTTATAAATAATTAATAAAATTTATTTTGTATAATAATATTGTTTAAAAAAAAACAAAAAAAAACCAAAGTAATTTTTTATAATTTTTTTTTAAATATAATATTAATAAAAATATTAAGATAAAACTTTTTTCTGTTTTTTTTTTTTTTTTTTTTTTTTAATATAATGAGAGCGAATCATCATTTATTATTATTATTATTATTATTTTTTTTTTTTAATTTAAAAGAAAACAAGTTAATTAAAAATAAAATTTTACAAAAAAAAAAAAAATTGAGCAATATAAAATAAAAAAAGAAAAGATTAAGTAATCATTGTTTTATAATGAGGTTGGGAATATGTTAAATTTAAATAAATTCAAATTTTAGAGTTTAATAAAAGTTTTTTTAACGACAATCGTATACAATAAAACTTGATGAAATATACTCTTGAACATGTTTTTTTTTATAATTTTTTATAAATATTTTTAATAAAATATATAAAAATTTAATGTGAAATCCTGGAAACCGGAAAATAATATTCTCAATTAAATTCTCATAGAAAAAATTGTTTATTTTTTAAATTACTCAATAAAATTTTATTTTTAAAACTTAATTAGGCAAATTAAATGACGATATAATACTTTTTTCTCAAATTATTTTTCTCAATATTATTAAATTTATCTTAAAAAACAAATATGGCGTCCCTCTTTTTAAACATCTTTTATATAAGAGAAGAGAAAGGTTAAGTCCAAAGGCTTTTTTAAAGTAGATGGAACTTAAAAAGTTTTTGCATATTAAAAACTAAAAATAAATGAAATCTGTTCGCTATAAAATATATCATATCTCTTACCTTTTTACTAAACTGCTATTATTAATATTAACTTAGTAAAATATCACTTCAATATTGGAATAGTTAAGTTTTCAAATAAATGTAAATAACCAGAAACCCGCGTAAAATGATTTTCATGCTTTAACCGCCGCCATTTTGTAATTGTATTTTGTATTGAAAATCATAGAGTATATAAATACATTTCAACTAAATAGATCTTTTTTTAATTTTAAAAAATTTTGTGAATAGGATTGTGTAATGAATATATATATAATTATTAATAGTGATTTAATTTAACAAACCATGGTTTGTGGAAAGTGTGAAAAAAAATTGGGACGTATAGTGACACCAGATCCATGGAAAGCAGGAGCCAGAAATACTAATGAAGGAGGTAGAAAAATAGGAGAAAACAAAGCCGTAGGCGGCCCTAGGACTAGATTTAATCCTTATACTACTAAATTTGAAACTTGCAGAATATGTCGACAAAATGTTAGTTTTTCTTTCAAATAAAATTTAAGATAATATTTGGTTTTTATTATTTATAATGACTTGAATTACAGTTTACATTTTACATTTTTGTGATTTTTAATGTTTGTACTCTTTCACAATTATAATGGGGTATTAACTATTCAAAATTTTGGTTTTTAGGTTCATCAAGCTGGTCATCACTATTGCCAGGCTTGTGCTTACAAAAAAGCTATATGTTCAATGTGTGGAAAGAAGTTGTTAGAAACTAAAAACTACAAGCAGTCATCAGCCTAAAAAAAATAGGTAATAAAATTACCATAAAGAATTAAAGTTTTGTTTTTTTGCTCTTTAATGTTCGATTGGAGTGATTATCATATGAATATGATAAGAAATATATTTTTTTCCCAAAATTATTTTTATAAATATAATAAAACAAGTTTAAAACTTAAAGTAATATAATTAATAATATTTATAATATATATGATTGTAAAGAACTTAGTGACGATATTAATTTGTTTATTTAATGATTTAATTAAAATTAGAAAAACTTGATACTTTGTTTAGGGTGCTTCGAAAAAAAAATTAAATCAAATATGATTAGTGGTTTCTTCGAATAAACATATGTTTAACATGCCAAAGTAAAATAAAAAAAACTGAACAGTTTGATACATCAATAAATAAATAAAATTTTATTAATTTATATTAATAATAAAAATTATATAAATGTGTATATGATTTTTCGAATAACTATAAAATTTAATTTTATTAAATCTAAGGTTAATCCAACCAGCTTTGTATTACTATAATAATTTTTTTTTGCAAATATATAATTATTTTACTATATATAAAAATTCTTTAACTATAAAAATGTTAAAATTATATTTTAAAAAATTACATTCTTTTGTTTTTTCTTTTTAATAAAATAAATATTTAATAAATTAATTTTTATTTTTGAATTTTTATATAGAATTATTTATTCTAAGAAATTGAAGCTCTCTTATTATGACTGGGCCTGTATATATTAGGCTTTTCGGTTTTTTCTCTTTCGTTAGGTAAGCTGGTGCTGTAGGCTCTAGCCCTAGTAAATTTTTCTGGCTCCTGTACATGTAATACTTTTAAAATTTTTTGTTCCACCATGTATATACTTTTTGTTCTTTGTTTTGCAGGGAGAGGAGCTATAACTGAATGTCTAGGTTGAGAGATTTCATTTCTTTTTTTCTGTAATTGTGATTCAGCATCCAGTGCTTTAATATTATTCCATAATTGAATTGATCCGCTCCCTCTAAGCATAAAAAATATTGATGAAAATAATAAAATGAATGATGTTAAACTAAATGTCAATTTCCACGAGCCCACCACCTAAAAAACAAAAAACACATGTTTGAAAAAAGAAATTTTTTTTGCATTTTAAAATGAAAAATTTTATTTTTTCAGAAATCACCTTTCCATTTAAAACGCTGCTTATTAAATAAAACATAAGTATGCTTCCAGCCGAGCCAAATGTACAACCAAATGCAACAATAGTTCCTGCATAATTAGGAGCAATATCCAATGCACTGCATAATGCACCAGAATAAATAGCCCCACTAACTATTGTTGCCAGTGAATATAAAAACTTTGGAGCAGTTACGTCACAACCTACGTACGCAATTACGAAGAGAAAACCAGCGGGTATAAAGTGTGCTGCACCAAAAAAAAAAAAATTAACTTTAGTCAATTATTATTATTATTCAATTTACATTTATGAATATGTTAGCGACATAATGTTTACTTACAAATATATACAAACATTCGTCTTGACGAGGTGATTGATACAAAATGCGTTTCTTGAATGTAATCCACGAGATATCCGCAAATAAGTGCAAAAACCGTGTGAAGGACAAAAGGTATAGCTGTTATGAATTCATCCTTTTAAAAAAAAAAAAAAAAAATTAAACTTTAGAATGTTTTGTATGTTCAAAATTATACTATTAATACATTACGTATATATTAAAAAAAATTAATTATTTAATTAATTAATTAATTGATCGTTAAATTTTAAAGAATTAAATGGGAATTAAGTAATTTTATATATATGTCATTTCACATAATTACTTATTATTTTAATCTTATGTATATTTTAATTTTTAAAAATTATAACGTCAAGTAAAATGGCTGAATTATTTAATTTATACGATGTATTAAATTTTAAGAATTAAAATTTAAGTTTATTGTTTATTAGTATTATTTTGATATTTTAGAAAATTTAGTTTCGGGTATGAAATCTACATTGTACTCCACAAAAAATGTTAAAAATATGTCGGAGGACAAATACTCTAAAAAAAAAAAAGGCTGTAAGGCTGTGTTTCCAATTTAGAATAAACAAGATGAAGAATAAGGTAAAGAATTTTTTTTTTTGAAAAGTATACAGTTTATTACTTCAGGACTTACTGAAATATTATATACGTATTTAAGGTACAATCGCATTCCAATATTAATTGTAATTTGCCCGCAATAACCTCCGAAAATAACCGCTATCGACATCCAAGCTGGTCTCGAGCAAAGAAAATGTTTAAGAGGAAAATCCGAAGCCTGAAAAATATTTTAAAATGTACAACAACGGTAAGTCGCTTTTAAATTTTGATTTTTTATAAATTGAATGACTTACGAGGGGTTTGCGGCAGACTAAAGTCGTTGGAGACTTTTCACATCTGGAATATTGTAGATGTTTGTCTGGAGTGTTGAAAACTGTCATAGACCAAGGTACAAACCACATAATTGTTAGGATGCTAGTAATAAAATATATTGAACCTGCACCCCAATTATAAACCACCTTGACTGTAAACAACTCGCATAATGCATAACCCAAGTATTTTCCTAACATTTCATTAAAAAAATTAAAATTTTTTTAAAAAATGTTTTTATATAAACAAGAGTAAAAAAAAAAAAATTACCAGAGTAAAGAGACACAAAACTACTTCGGCGATGACTCGGAAACCAATTGACTGCCAATGAATGAGCTGAGGGAATCAAAGCTCCCTAATAAATATTTGTAAAATTAAATTTAATGAACAGAACCTAAATTTTTGTTTCTTAATTGATAATTTAACGTACACAAAATAAACCTTGTACAAATCTAATAACTACATGTGCAACTGATAGCCATGCAGCAGGTACCAGAAGGGTTGAAGCAGCTGCTCCTAATAAAGAGTAGCCAAAAACTTTTTTGGGACCTATGTTAACAGCTAATCTACTAGCCGGTATAGCAGAAAAAAAATTTCCCCATAAATAAAATTTTTTTAAAAGAAGTTCCATTTCTTCTTTCGATGTCAAATTGGCCTGTAATAATTAATTATGAGGATTTTAAAAAAAAATTTTTCAAATTCGTTGTTACTCAGAAACGTATTATTTTGGTATACCTTAAAAAACATGTCTTCAAGTTGTGAAAAATCATAATCATCATCAACGTCTCCTTCGTCATTTGCATAAGCATAATAAATTGCCAACGTTGTTAAATTTGGTGGATCACAATATCTTCTTTCGTTACTACCATTTCCAACGGATATTTTTGTTTTTTGAACGTCGAAAATATGATCAGAAGGAGATAAAGCTACCGTTATACCATGTTCGACAATACCAGAAATGGTAAAACCAATAAATACCATGCAAATGAGTACAATTCTGGCACTTTCGATAACTAAAAATCATATTTTGATGTAATTGTCGTATTGTTTGCCTTTCTTTTTTTTATTTATTTATTATTGAGTATTTTTTTTTTTCATGACTTGCAATTAATTTTTTTAAATTTTAAAAAATAATTTTTTTTTTTTTTTTGAGACGGAATGTTACATACCATTTGTGTTTTTTTGAAAGCTGTTTCTTAACTTTTCAAGAGTTTCCACTTCAACTATTTTCATATCTATTTAATAAAAAACTTTTTAAAAACGTTCAAAAAAAAAAAAAAAATACATGACGTTAGTGTGTGTGTGTGTTACACTTAAAAGCTTTAAAATGTTTTTTTATTAAACAATTATGCCAACAATATAATAAATGGGTAACTGTTGTCCTCTGAACGAATGAAGAAGGCGGTTGTTCATCATTAAAAATACGTGATTCGATTAATAACAAAAAAAAAAAAAAAAAAAACTTTTCGAAATTATCTATGTAAGATATTAAAATGTTCTAGTTGTTGGGTCATTTCCCTCTCTCTCTCTCTCTCTCTCTTTTCTTTTATTAAAAAAAAACTAATTTGTTTAATCTTAATAATAATTATAAGATAATTTTATTTATTATTATTATTATTATTATTATTATTATTATTATTAAATGGACACAGTGTGTGCAAGAGAAATCATTTAAACTATGTCAAGGCAAACATTATGCAATTAATATGACTTCCATATTTTTTCGCCACCTTTAATAACTTGATTATTACTTGAAATTTATTTATTATCGAACTATGAATAAAAAATTATTTTTTTAAAATTTATTTAAACAAAACATAAAATGTTGTTTGATTTTATGTTGATGTAAAGAAAGATGGATAGATTTTATTGTGAAACAGACATGTTTTTAAAATAAATTATTTAGGATTTATGATATGTAATTAAAAAAGCAATTAAAAAATTTAATAATAATAATTAACTTTTGTTCTTTACGGTGGTCTTTTCTTTCAAATAATAATAATAATAATGACAAAAACATATTTAAAAAAAAAAAAAAAACGTTTTTGTTGTTAAATGTAATTTTATTGAATTGAAAAAAAAAAAAAAAAATTATTGAACAATAACCGGTTGTATAAAATTCAATACATTTATTTAGTTTTTAAAAACAAAATGGCCGACACAATAATGTTGTAAATTTTTTTTTTTTTTTTTGAAGCATTTATATTACGAAATTTGCACTTTCGATTAGAATATTTAAAGTTTAAAAAAATTATTTGTTGTGAAATTTTCTTTTTTTTTCTGTTTCCATTACAGATATTATTAATTTACTCGGTACGATAACAATTTTTTTTTTTTACCTTAAAGAGGTTAAAGTTACTGTAATTTTTTAAGAGAGAAAAAAAATAATAATTATTATTATCATTATTTTCTTTTTTTTTAAATTTTGTAATGAATTACACAAACTAAAAATTATTGAACGCGACGACGATCATTACTTAATGATTTTGCGGTTTAAAAAAAAAAAAAATCAAATATATTTATATTTATAACGAAATCTGGAAAATATTCTGCTGCCACGTTTTTTTAACTAAAAAAAAATATTATTAATTATTACCGATAAATAATTTTATAATAAAAAATTTTAAATCCCACAAAAAATTTCAAATCGTTAAAAAATAATTCAAGATTATTATTATTATTATTATTTGAAAAAGTCATCATTATCAACAAGACTTTATTGTGATAAGAAATTTAAAAGAAACAATATTATTATTATTATCAAAAAAAAATATTTTTATTTATTTAATTAATAAAATAAAATCACTTCCTTGTTGTTTAATTAAAAAAAAAAAAAAAATTGTTGTGATAAATAAAAATTTTATTTATAACGTTTTTTAATACTATTATTATTAATAAATAAATAAATACATAAATAATTATTTATACATAATACGTTTAAATAAAAAAAAAAAAATATTAAAAGTTAAATAAATTTAAAAAAAAAAATTAAAATATTCATAAATCCGTTCGTTGACTATTTAAAAAAAAAAAAAAAACAAAGTTTTTAGTTACGCTGTTGTTTGACCTTTTAACCTTTTTGTCGGAATTTTTTTTTTCGTTTTGTTCTTTTTTTCTTCCTGTTTTAATTAAAATTCACTCAACACAAATTTTAAAAAAAAAAAGTTGAAGGATTCGATTTGATTCGTTCGAAAAAAAAAAAAAAGAAAATACACGTGTATGGTTTTTAAGTGCGAACAAACGCGAAAACAAACATGGAAAACAAACAAGAATCTTTTAAGAATTTACACATTTAAAAAAAAAATCCAGTATATATGAAACAAATATTTGATCCCGTGATCAGTTATCATAGTATAAACACGGGGATCCGTGTGTGTGGATATTAAAATCCCCACGGGGTTTTTTTTTTTTTTTTTTGTATTTGTTTGTATGCGCATGCTCAGTAAAGCGTCCGTGACCCGCGAAACTAAATTTCAAACTTTTTTTTTT